CAATCTCGCTTTAACACAACAATCTCGCTTTAACACAGCCTCGCTTTAACACAGCCTCGCTTTAACACAACAACCTCGCTTTAACACAGCCTTGCTTTAACACAACAGCCTCGCTTTAACACAACCTCGCTCTAACACAACAGCTTCGCTTTTACACAGCCTCGCTTTAACTCAACCTCGCTTTAACACAACCTCGCTCTAAAACACCCTCGCTTTAACACACGTGTAAATGTGTTATATGTTTAAACACGTTAGTTACTCACCCGGTGATATCCATTCCTTTGATATGCATTTCGCCGCTTGTTAACTCACGCCGCTGGAACGGCTGTGTATATCACTGTTGTTAAACAATGTGTAATATTTGTATTATATTAGTCTGTGTATATATTAAGTGTGTATGGCTGTGTGAGGAGGGTGTTTCTGTATGTCAGTGCGTGTGTCTGTGTGTTCCAGTGTGGATGTTGCCCTATCTTTATTACGTGTTCGTGTGTATGTCCGAGTATTAAGGATGTAGTACGTACATCAGTGTGTATTAGCGTGCATGTTGAAGCGTTTATGCCCGTGTGAGTTTGTGTCTCTATATTAATGCGTATGTGTCTTGTATATTAGTGTCTATGTTTCGGCTGTTAAGAGTGTGTATTACTCAACAGTATATCAGTGCGTTACACAATGTGTGTGTGTGTGCGTGCGACAGTGAAGCCTGTGTCCCTTTGCCCAGTGTTATTTCGTGTGTGGGTCCATCTCCATGCCTTAGTGTGTGTTACTCTATTACTGTCTGTCTGTGCACAACTCGCTCTGGGTGTGTGTCACCGTGTCCGCTTGTCACCACGTGTGGTGTCCATACAACTACCCCGCTCTGTCTACGTATGAGCGTGACCCACTGCGAGTCCCGGAGTCAAGCCCCCGACACTGCGTGCAATATCTGCCCCGTGAGTCTGCGTGCCTCTAATCTCACTCCCGTGATATCTGCCCCGTGTGTCCGCGTGTCCCGTGCCTTGCGTCTGCCTTGCAATGTCCGCCTGTCTGTCAGCGTGTTTGCTGGCGTGAGTCTACAACTAACTCGGTCTGTCCGCTCTCACTGAATGCAATGCCTTAATTCTTCTTCTTCTCTTACACCCCCCCCCACCACCACGACCACCACCACCACTCCTCCCCTCTGCACGCACCCCCCACCCCTATCTCTCTATTTTGTGTGTACGTTCAGTCGGCTGGCAGCACCAATCTGCGCATGCGCTATTTTATATCGAGACGAGGAAGGAGGGGTTGGTGGTGGTGGGGGGGGGGCGAGAGGATGGAGGGTGCGCGCGCGGGCGGTGAGGGGCGGGGGTGGAGGGCTGTGAGGGGCGGGGCTGGTGAGGGGGTGGAGGGGGGGGGAGTCGCGAGTGGGGGGGGGGGGTGTTGCTGATGTAAGAAGGAGGGAGAGACGCACAGAGCCACAGTGACCTGCTCTGGCGTGCGCACGCGCACAACAAAGACAAAGATTTCCCGTATGGCTTTAACAGGCTGCTTTGGGGGAGAGCGGGTGGCATTTGCTGTTAGCGAGCACCTGTTAAGGGAACGCCGCGGGTACCGGCAGCCACGCACGGCTGCCTTTGTCTCCCCCGGTGATGGATGGTTACGCAGCGCACCGAGGTGTTGGAGTTTAAGGCTGAGTTGACCTGGGGGCGCGCAGGGAGGCCCGTATCGCCAACGTGTGGACGTCGTGTCCCGCAAAATCTAATTTCAGGTTGTTGGGTTCATAGAACAGTGCGATAACTACTTACTCTGCCCCACCGCTCCAGCGCATAATTTGTAATGACTGTGTATCTAATACAGTACATATAGAATCAATCTTTATCCTGGAGAAATCCTATGAGCTATGAAGCTCTTTGTCACAGATGTCCAGTGGTCTTTTTCGCTGATGTCAGTCGTCCAATAGTCATAGATGTCATCCTAGGTATGACGCTATCTGCATTGGGCGATGTTTTTTGTTGTCTCAAACACTGCTGATGAAGCCGAGGAGAATCCTGCCCAACTGGTGTCCAAGTAATCGCTAAAAAAAACCACCCTGTTACCGGGTGTGATGTTGCGAGGTGAAGATCGAGAGGAGACTGGGATCGGATGGGATTGAGCCAGGGACCTCCTTGCCTCCAGTAACCTCCTTGCCCTGGGGCCGAGAACTTTAAAAACAATTACCAGCCATGATCAATCCACTGCTCGATGCATCTTCCCCAAACTGTCGCCATCTCTCCCGGTCCTGCGATGTAGCAATCCGTCTAGCATCTGCGCAAAAGATGATTGAATAATGCAACTTCTAATTATTGTTTTCTCGTAAAGCCAAAGAAGAACGAATAAGTGGCGCGAATCTAACCGAGCCCCTGCTTATAATGAGACAAAAACGGAAATGACATTTTTAGAATCTGAACTGGAAAAAAAATCAATGCCCGAGTGGTTGATTGATTGGTCTCACTCGGGGCATGGTCAGAAGTTCAACATCACTCGAGGTCCCGAGCTAAACATTTACAGACTGGAGGAATCTGATGAGCTATGAAGCTATTTTTTTCACGCATGTCCAGTAATGTAAGTACGACCCCTATAGTTAGCGAACCAAGTAATTCGCCTCCTGTGGAATGTTACGTCCACGCCGATGGAAAGCGACAAATGCCCGCTACTTCGGCCACCAGTCTATTTTTATTAGTATTAATACACAGCCTATGGTCCCTCGGGGGACTGTAAAACGACTCCCACTTTATGGAATAGAAATTACCCTCTTGAGGCCCAAACATTACTGACTTGACACGCAGACGTATATGCACACATATGCTGCACATGTGCTTATGTATATACTGTATAGGCAAATCCACACATATGAAAGATGCTTCCGTGATGTTGATGGTCAGCATCACTGATCGTGTAATCCAATGGTTGTCCATTCTATCTCCCGGAGCGGCAGTTGAAACAATGGGTACGTTTCATAAACATTCCCCGGCGCTCCACACCGCCATCGGTCCACCCAGAAGTATCGATGGGGTATACTACAGCTCGTCGATCGACTGGACACCGCAGTGTGTACACACGAGAGCCGGAACACATTGTAATCGATTACTTCATGGGCATCGTATTCACTTGTAGGCAAGAAACCCCTCTACAAGCTGATGATGCCGATTCCATCAACAAGCGTCGAGCCCATCAACCTCCCTTCCATCCACAACACGTCGTCGAGGAATTGAACCCCATAATATTTAACGGTAATCGATTGCTTAAAATCGTATATCCCAGGTATAATCAGTATCACACTCTCAAGAATTGTTATGAAGGCTCAATATCTGGAATGAGATGTGTGAGCACACACGGGCTTTTGGGAGGGAGAATCTGGTATCAAGATAAGAGCCATTCAGGTGATGGTGACCTAATCAACAGGGAAAGTGGACTATGTTAGGGATAACGCGATTAAGGGAGGTCGTGCAGTGCCCAGCTGAAGCTTTTTAACGAGTCACCGTGAAAGACGTGATGCAGTCTCGAGTGAAGGTCTACAGAGACGCAGAGAACAGCAACACGTTGTGTGGTCAGGGCAAGTGCGAGGTTAATTCAAATTACCACCGCAACAAACAAGGGGTGGGGAGGGGTCATTATTATTTGTCATGTCAACCCGTAACGTCGCTCGCGAGGTCACGACTCATAGGATGCTCACACGAACACAAGTCTGGCCATGTTATTTTAAACAGCAGCAAGACAATGCGACAACTGTATACCGGTTTCATCTCCGTTAGGAATCGTCAGTACAGTACAGGCAAACATCGCCGACTCTTGCTGCCTTGTGTCTCAAGATGCATTTTTCAATCTGATGAGATTCTCATAATTTCGACCGTGTTAAGAGTTGGTTTTATACACAGCACACGTTCAATAATGGGCCTACGGCAAAGAGTCACCCCGTCCCTATGACGATCTGCACTCAAGTGTTACACTAATAGGGACAAAATCAGTGCCTCTCCGCTTTATAACAAGCAACTGGAGTCAGTCTCCATGAAAAGCACAACCGCTGTTGGCTTCCCACAAAGTGTCAGGAATTCTATTGATTATGATGATTTATTGAACCCCTGAGATAGGAACTTCGCCTTCCAAAGACAGGGCCGCCAGTTTGAGATGATGGGTAGAAGAGGTCAATATTCATTGTTGTACTGTAGTTCTATGCTGTTCGACTTCACCAACCCGCGCTAACTACCGTGATGAAATGTGGTCAATGTAATATGGTGATATGGCCTAGAGGTATAGCGTGTTTCACCACTTGTTGCATTGGTTCACGGTTCGAATTACAGCGACCGCCCTGGTTATTACTGCGAGCGTAATGACCGTAATAATACGCTCCAGCTGCCTCACAATGCACGTTAATGACCCCCTGACAACATTAGTCACAGTCGACCATTGTGTGCCGGCAGTTAAGGTTCAAACTTTACAAATTCTATAATTACCCACAACATCGCTCAAATGGGGATGATACGTGGCAATCATTGACCACTCTTGCAATTTAATTAAGACTATCCTGGTCTCTTGAGTTCTCTCCTGGCGGTTAAACAAAAATAAACTACCAAGACACTTTCAATTAACTTCGTCGCTTCGGTGGGTGACGTTATTGTGTGACTTATCGTAAGATCCAGTGACACTCGACCGATACACACACACACGCGTTGCGTGTAGGGCGATGTTTTCCTTCTGTGACCACATACAAACACAATCAAACAATACGCGCGTACAACATTGCACATGCACACGCTAGCTACATACGTAAACCTGTATAGTAAACAAAGATCGACCCCTATAGCGTTAATAGTAGGACTGTTCGGACAAGTGCTGTTAGCGAGCAGCACCTACGAAGGCCGGCACGGCACACGAGGGGCTCGGTGGCCAGCACCACGCCCGGCCGCCTTTGTCTCCCCAGCGGCGATGTTCACTACAACACCGCTACACCAGCTACTCATTTGAGGCTGAGTCAACCTAGGGGACCCCAGGACCGGTTCAGATAATCGGCACTGGTGGTGTTGGCCGTGAGCGGGAATCGAACTTGGGTCGCCGGGTTCGTAGCGCAGTACCCCACATAAAGTAAACTACTGTACTCAGTACAAACAGGAGAAGGGGTACAACAGTACACACACTACATACTGTATACATACACCACATATAGTAAAATTAAGGGTCCCAATAAACCGTACATACAGGACAGGAATAACAGTATACACAGAGGATATACAGAATACGCACATACAGTATACATACGCAACACAATCATGAATTACGCAAAGTTACGAATGCAAGGTACAGTGCAGAATAACACAAACAGCACATAGGCATACAGTAACGTGCAGTACACATGGTCAGTATATGTAGAGCGCACCGTACATTACAGAGAGGGTACGCACGTGAGCACACGCGTAGGTCAACGTACGCACAAACAGTACACACATCGCACACGTGCAGTACACACAGTACACACAGAGTACACACATAGTAAACACGCACACACAGTACACACACACACAGTGAACACGCACACACAGAGCACACATAGTAAACACGCACACACAGTACACACACACAGTAAACACGCACACACAGTACACACACACACACAGTAAACACGCACACACAGAGCACACACACAGTACACACACACACAGAGCACACATAGTAAACACGCACACACAGAGCACACACACACACAGTAAACACGCACACACAGAGCACATAGTAAACACGCACACACAGAGCACACACACAGTACACACACACACAGTAAACACACACACACACAGTACACACACACAGTAAACACGTACACACAGAGCACACACACACAGTAAACACGCACACACAGTACACACACACACTACACATACACAGTACACACACACAGTACACACACACAGTAAACACACACAGTAAACACGTACACACACAGTACACACAGTAAACACACACACAGTACAGAGTACACACACACAGTACACACACACAGTAAACACACACAGTAAACACGTACACACACAGTACACACAGTAAACACACACACAGTACACACAGTACACACACACACAGTACACACACAGTACACACACACAGTACACACACACAGTAAACACACACACACAGTACACACACATAGT